TGGTGTCGTACAATTTCTTGCTCCTGATCTTCCTGATAGTCATCCACTGGGTCTTCCCTGGGCTTGGCAGGTCTGCCAGCATCCTGAAAAACACAGAGAGACAGACACTGTTGACACTGCCCCAACCTACTTCCATTCCCTGCCAGGGATACAGCTCTCCTGCATTAGAGCCCCAAGTCTGGAAGACTGGGCTACAGATCAGGAATCTGGGGGCAGCAGACAGACCATGAGGCAACCCAAATTCCATTGGTACTTTCTCCACCCAGTCTCTCTTCCCACCTGCTGGCAGCAACTGCCCAGCTCCTTCCACTGTGGAGAGAGGGGCCTCTCCTGCAGCAGGAAGGTCCCAGGGCCAGGGGAATGTTGCTTCAAGTCGCAGGACTGCAGGGAATCTACAAGTTATTTAGGGTAGAGCTCTAGGGAGCACAACACAGCCCTAGCTGAAAGTCAGGTATTTATGTCACTAATTCTTTCCACATTTTCACTAATCTTAAGGTGGTGTTGCTCTGTTGGTGCCAGCATGTCTTTGATTTCATTGGCCTGGGTTGGTTTATTTTTTTCTTTTTTTTTTTTTTTTAAGCCTCACTATTAATCATGATTTTAGAGCCTGACAGATAAAACACTCCTTTTTAAAGCAAGCAACACTCAGCTGCTTGTCAAAACAAGCGAACATTTCCCTGATGCAGAGTCTGGCTTCAGACAGCAAGAAGCACTTTGCAAAATAAATGGATTCCATCTGCAAGCAAGCAAACAAGGAGGCAGAGTTCTCACGTGTTGTCACTGCTGCCAAGAGCCTGCTGCACCCCCATCCCAGGAACAGCAGTGACTGCACTGAGCAGACCCCGAGCGTAGGCCCATAGTATCGTCTGGTTTCGGGCTCTCAAGTGCTTGAAAAGCTACAGACCTCTGCAGCACAAGCTCTGGTACTGATCAACCCACCAATTCACACTCAAAGAGGTTTCTCCTGCCTGCCATATCCTTGCAGTGGGATTGTGGATCCACCCGGGAACGTGGTGTTTTCCTTTCAGTCCTTAAGCTCTCTGCCTCCCCCCATTCATAGCTGGGGATCTCTCCCTGCCCCTCATGCCAGTCACCTTCAGCGGCTTCTCCTTAGACTCTTCTTTCACGCTGGGCTCCTTGAACTTCTCCAAACCTCCCACCTTCTCTTCAAAGTCAGGTCTCTCCAGCTCAGCTTCCTCAAACTCGTCCTCACCTTGGTTATTGGGATCCTGGGCAGGATCTGCAGCATCATCTGGCATCTGGACAAGAAAAGCCTCTGGTCAAGAAAAGGCAGGACACCCCCTTGGGAGACAGAAGGCCTGGTGCCTCCACCAGCAAGCACCAAGTGCTGGCTCGTAGCACTTCAGTCACACCTCTCCAAGCACGCTAGCAGTTCTAAAAACAAAAAAAAACCCTGTCTTTGTTATCTCTCTGAATCCCTCCAGAATCAAGGAGTTTGGAGTTGCATGTTATAGAAACTTCTGGGAAAGCATTGACTTAAGTGGGACAGCTTATTCGGAGCGAGGGTTGCATCCAGATGACGGCATCACTTACCATGGGTTCCTGGACAACAGCCTCTTTCTGAGAATGTGAGTTCTCCTCCCTCTCAATCACTCCTGCATCTGCAAGGAAGAGGGACGGTTACCAGTGTCACCAGTTAAGATGCCGACTGCTGGGGAGCAGCTGTATTATCTCTAGGCCAAGCAGGGATTTGTCTCGACCTGCCTGCAGCTTGAGGCAGACAATGCTCTGTGGATGCTTTCAGAGGAACCCTTCTTCAGTGCCACTTGCAAGACTTCAGGGCAAAGCAGCACTGTGCTCCTACAGCTGCCAAAAACAGCTTCCTTGTCCCCAAAGCTGGGGCACAGGCATGGGTTGAAGCATGCCCATAACTCACCAATACACAAAGACAAAAAACCAGCTCCTAACCTACATTAAGATGCCTCTTTCAAAAAAAAATCTATAGCAGCAACCCAGCCACGCAGCCATCAGACCATCCCTGGGAGCCATCAGACCATCCCTGGGAGCCAAACTAGACCACAGCAGGTCAGGACGTCAATGCCACCTCCCCTCCGGTGGCACACAGCTGCTGGCAGGACCGAAAGGCTCCCTGTGGCAGGCAGGGGGGCAGTCAGGGCAGGAGATAGTGCTAATGAGAGAAAGATACAGCCTTTTAAAAAGAACAGCCTTTGCTTTCAACTAAGTAAAGGCCTAATCCTCACCCCAAATTGGATGTGGCTCCGACTCACCGCTCTGTCTGCCATCGCCAGGGGCTGAGTGGCTCTCCCCAAAACATTAATGGAGCCTGTCAGACAGCAGCGTTCCCAGCTGGGGAGCAGCACGGCCAGTCATTACTTTGATTGTTAATTCCAATTAGGACACAGAGGTCAAGAGCTGTATGTCCTCACGCTCCCTTATACCTGCCGTGAGGCCTTTTCTTTTCAGGGTAGAATTCACTTTGATGTGAACCAATTAGTTCAGTTCCTCTAAGGGGACCTTGCTGAAAAATCAGGTCAGTAAAATATGAAATAGCAGCTAAACTCAGCCGTTGGGAAGCACAGGAATACCAGCCCTCCCATCAGCTGTTACCCACTGTCGCTGTCCTGGAAGGGAGGACTTCACCTGCCCGGGGTGAACTGAGCCAACAGCCTGGGAGGGACTCGCCCATCTTGGGCGATCTCAGCCTTTTAATCCGAGATGCAGTTAGAACCACTGACCTTCATCTCTGTCCCGTGACATCCCTCCTCTGTTCCAAACCCAGAGCCAAAACCTACTGTCAAGAAGCCAGGCTGGGACCATCGTTATCATGTTTAATAGAATGCAAGTCAGCGTTTCACATGAGGTCCTCACAGGAGCCTCAGCTCCCAGCTTCCCTGCCTTGCTGCATTCGAGACCAGGGCTTAATTAAAAAATTAGCTACATGAAAAGCCACCTACTTCTACCTCAGTCTAGCAACATATGGAATTAGCATTAGTCATAGCTACATTTCAGTGGCTCTGACAAAGGCTACTAGCTACCTTCCAGATCTTACAGGTTATTTCCACATGTGCAAGAGGAATTGAGGGGTTTTGCTGCTGTTTGCAGCGAAGAACTCTGTCCCCAAAGTGTTCCCGCTGTAGGTCCTGGCCCCTTGAGCACAGCAGGGCATCTCCACACAACTTCTCACACTGGATGCCTCTGCTCAAAAGCCCGTTTTAGATCTCCACCGCCTGACTGGCTTACTGTAGTCCATCTTTGTCATCTTTATTTGCTTCCAAAGGGAGTTTGTAGCTTCCCTCTTACACTCGTAGACATACAGCTGCAATTAAGTCAACCTTCCCTTTGTTTCTGGACCTACGGAAGCACTCCAAGCCCCTGCCCACCCACTGTAATTTTCTGAAAGGTCTAGCCGTTTTACAGCTGTTTTCTGTTATTTCACACACCACAAATGGTTATTTAATTGTTCCTTCGTTTTGCCACTCACGTGCAACCACCATTACAGGCCAACTGATAAACCTCACCTGGAAAACAAGGCAAAGAAAAGATCCTGCTCTCACATAATCTAATGGATTATTCATTAGTTGGTTTCATGGTGTGATGAACTTTACATTAAGTCAAACGTTTCTCCCAACCTGTTATTAGCCAAGTGATTCAGTTGGCATAGAGCTCTGAACAGGTCTGGGTCAGAAGACTGAGGAGTTCTCAATTTGCCTCCAATCGCAGTTGCCTACTGGACTTTAAAACAGCTGTAGGTGCTCTGTGGGCTGACTGACAAATACAACTGGCTGCCCTTGAATTGATTTGCTTTTAGCCTCTTAAGGACAGCTGGGAAATTTTCTGCCTAAGTTAGAAAACCCACTCCTAAAAAATTAAATCAATCTCTATGGGAGACCGAGATCAAGTCTTGCAAAAAACCCAGTGGCATTTTCCCCATCACTCCCGTAGGAAAGAAAGAATTGACTTAACTTACACAGATTTGGAGTCCACTACCTTGGGAATGCGTGAGGATGCAGGACAGCAGAGAACAGAACCAGAAAACTGTCCAAGCTTTTCGTTTGACCAAGGACAACAGAAGCACGAGAGTTTTTCAAGAGTTGTACTGTTTTCCTTTAACACAAGCAGAAAGCTTTTCTCGCTCCTCACCTCAATAAATTAGTCCCATACAGCATAGGATTAGGGAAGCCATACCCATTTCGAGTTCCTCATCATCTGTCCTTTCCTTCTCGCCTTCCTGATCAGCTCCGTGATGCTCTTCCCCTCTCTTCTGACTGGGTGGCTGTGGGCTGCCTTTCTGCGCCTCTTGCCCAGGCTTGGGATCCGAATGAAGGCTCTTTGGGTAGCTGTGCGCTTGTCCTTCATCCATCTGGGCATTCACTTTGTTAACGATGTCTTTCCAGCTGCAACAAGGACATGAAACAAGAGAGAACACCCCTGCCTCAGTATATCTAGAGCCATTTCATAATGGCAAGCAGAGGGGAAAAAAAACACCACCCTCCAACACACGCAGAAGTCTGTCCCAATTTAACTCTCTGGCAAAACTAGCAGATTGCATTAGTTACTGGTGTATCTGCTTGAAACAGAACGTTTAGTACGCCACGTGAGTACAAAATAATTTATGCTTTATAAACACCATTTATTATAGAATTGCTTTAGTACTACTCATATGATACAACAACACATCCACATAGCATTAAACTCCAAGTCTAAATCGATACTTACTCATGCCTCACACACCAATACACAAATCTAAGTTTCTGAAAAAAAAAAAAGAAAGAAAAAAACACCCACAAGTCCTCTTTATTGTTCCAAAGTAATGTAAAAATGAAGATGCTAAAGTAAACCTGTAGTATTTTGGCCTATAAGAAGAAAAAAAAACAAACCCAACTTTCAAAACAAACAGGAAAACTGCAATACAAAATTGACAGTTTCCATTGTCTGGTAATTTATTTATTTATTTTTTAAAGCCACAAGCTCTTTACCAGCTTTACAACTGGGATGGATACTTCAACCAGTGGCTGTTTATAAAACTTCCATAGCATGCATGTGTCCCTTGAACCAACCCAAAGAGTGAAACCCCAACTAGCTGAAAGGAAACAGTCACATGTTGTTTTGATTCTGGTTTTTAGGTGAACATGGGAAAGTGTCTCATTTCATCATTCAGGGAGGGAAGCCACGTTCCAGCATGATTTGCTGCTTTCACTACCACCGCCCCCAAGTGTTTTCATCCATCTTCTGATCTGAAAAATCAGTTATCCACACACAGCTCTGTCTGCAAGAGTTCAGGCAGCCCCTTTCAGGCAGCTATAGTCAGGAATTCCTTCCCCCATAATGGTTCCACCTCAAAGACCCTTCTGATGCCTACACCAATATCTCCATCTGCTTCCTTCTTAACAGGAGTGCCTCAGAGGGGCGAGGACTTGATATCAAGGTAAACACCAGGCACAACACTTTTATCATTAATGCTCCTCCGCCTGCAGCAATAGTGCAGCTCATGGGTACCCAGCCAGAGGCTCAGCAGCGTAACACCATCCCACTGCATGGAGACGAAGCGGAGGTCAGAGAAGCAGCAGAATATCTTCCTGTCAGTTTGAGTGACCCCCCTGAAAAGCCCAGAAGGCAGGGCTGTGTCACAAGGAATGTTCTCTTCCTAAAAATCCTGCTATTCTTCCTCAGGGACATCTCTTCCAAAAAATCCAACTATCCTTCCTCAGGGACACCTCCAGAAACAAAGAAGGGTAAAGGAAGGAAATCCCAATAACAGGGACTCTCAAAAGTGACCGAAATAAAAACTTTTAACTTAAGTTACCACCAGTTTCAAGCAGGATTACTGCCTGTCCTGCTACATGAGCCAGCTGAGATTTAAGAGTCAGGACATTTAAGTTTTTAACTGCTGAGAAACAAGTGGCCGTAGCTTCAGCAGCTTTTTAAAGCCAGCATACTGCCACCACACAAACCTTTTAGTAAGAAAACAAAAAAATCACAACCCAGCCTTCGGCTCAGATTTCCCCATTAAAAAAAAACCCATCAAAGTGCAAATCGGCCATCAAGAGCTCATCTGGAAACTGCTGGTCTCAGCCACCCAACGCAACAGCTCTTGGCATTGGATGTGTGGCCTCCTTTGTACTCGGCTGCGGTTTGATATTGTTCTTGGCATTGACACCTTCTGGAGAAAGTTGGTTTGTGCACTCCTTATCGCAGACCTCATGCCGTGTAAATAACAGCCTCCAGCTGCTCAGCGATTTCTTGATGATAGATCCAGGAAAAGAAAAGGACACCAAACATACCATGATCTCTGTCCTTGCAGAAATCAGTTGCCAAACAAAGCCAATATTTGCGTTTTCTCTTTCACAGGGTCGTGACAGTATCCTCTCCAGGCTCTACACAGCCAAGGAGAGGCCATTCCGCCATCACAACTTCAACCCTCACCTTCAGCTACACCCACACAAGTCCCTCCCAGGAAAAAGACAGAATATCCTCTGTGTGTCCATGCAGATGTTATTACCAAAGCAGCATGGGGAGGACTTTGCCCTTCACAGAAAGGCACAAAGCACAATCCCTGACCCGGCAAGATTACAGGTTAAGTTAACAAAAGTGGCAGAGAAGAATGGGTAGGATCAGGCTGAATTTAGAACAAAATCCAGAAGTCTCTTCTACAGATAAAACAGAAATTAAATCTGGTTTGCTCCAGTCAACTGAGCAGATGACCTGGACACATGCAGGGGAAAAATAAGCTAAATGAGGAAGCACTATTTTCAGTCAGTTTTTGGATTATGGCCAGACTTTGATGAATTGCAGCCTCAGAAAGACATTTTCTTCCTTTTGCAAAACAGACCGGTCTTCCGTGAGTGCTGCTGAGGCAGTAAACAGTTTCTCCTGTGCCTGTACAGCGCCCGGTACAAGAGGATCCTGGTCCCTCACCAGGCTCCCAGGTACCACACCAACACAAGTAACACGCTGTAGGAATTAGCCATTCTGTTACCGGCACGGAACGGGTACGTTCATGCCATTGTCTGAACCTCTGCCCTTTCCAAGGGACTCCCCTCCCCGGAGCTCTCAAGAACAGGTCTGGTTAACACATTGTGCTGAGGATGTCTGAGATGAGCAACAGCCCCAAGTTGCAGGGAATTTTAATACCAAGGTTTCAGCCAAGCTCAGGAGATTGTACCAGTTCCAAGACTTTTTACTGTAAACCCTGATCCTTGTATTGATACAGTTGAATGGGTTTGACTTCCCTGGGTGAAGCTGAAGGTGACGCAAACTCCACCATCCCAAGTGCAGGTATGCAGGAGCAGAGACAGGACAAAAAGCCTGGGCTGCCTGATGGAGTCTGTCTTCATTTCTGGCATGAACTATTGCATTACACTCTTCTACCCCATTCTGGATAAACCCCATAGTTTTGGGATCACAGCTCTCAGCTCTGTCTGACTTTTCACCTTCTAATCAGGCGCTGAAGGTGAGTCCCTAGCCCCTAGCACACCTCAGAAGTGCACTGGCAATGGGAACACAAGCTCCATTCCCTGGGAGGAAAAAACGCAAAATAGAGAATACAAAGTTTGGGAATTTGTCTTCGCCCTAGAAGCAAAACCAAAAAAACTCTAGTATCTGCTCTGGGCTAGTTGCCTGCTGCTTCTAGATTACCATATAACCTTGGAGATGAGCAGCTTTCAGATCCTCAAGGTCTGGTTGTTCCTGCAGAGCTTGGCAGATTACTGATTAGTTGGTGGAAAAAATGAGCAAGTTGCAGCTCTAATGTACAACTTAATGCCTCTTATTTATAGAAACGGAAGGAATTTTTAGCCACCCTAGCTGCTGCAGATGGGTTGCTTCCATCATGCAGAACCTCTTCTGTTTGCTAAACAAAACAGGATATTTAAGTCACCATCACTGAAAGGGAGGAGATTTCCTGAAGTCGGTTCAGACTCCCGGCCCACCCTCTCCTCTAGCTAGTAACCATGCTGACCTGGTCTCACGCAGCCATAGCTCCTCTTTCCCCCTCCTCCCCACACAAACACTTTACAAACAGTTTAGAGACAAAGGCAGCCTGCAGAACACGCACCAGTAACAAAAGAGCCTTTTTTTGATGCCAGCACAGCACCCACACCATTCAATCACACACCATTGCCTCCAACATGACTAGTCTTCTGAGGCAGAGACCTGGCAGCAACATTCAGTTACAAGAATTTGATGACACTGGAGCCAATAACTAACATTATCTTTCAAGTCGAAACCACAAAAAGAGAGACCAGATGGAGACTGTGGTACCTTTCAGCCTGAACATTGGGAGTAGAAGGGAGTTTTGTTCCACCAACCTTTGCATCTGCACCTGTTTGCTCCCCGTGGAGCGGTGGTGGTCTGGCATCTGAGGTTTTCCTGCTGCAGAGGGTTGTTTCAGATCAGACGGTGACAATCCAGGAGCCTGGCTTTCCTCGTTGCTTTTCACCTGGATGCGCATCACCATCTTTACATCCTGAAGAGAAGACACACGCATGCCCTCGGGATATACACAAGCCCTTAATATCTTATCAGGTACCTGCAGGTCTCACTGGTATTTGGGCAGGCTTATGGGCCAGAAGAATCGTTTCTCAACGAACTGGAGCACTCCTGAATCTGCTGAACAAACCTGTCCAGCCAGTCTGCAGTAAGAGAAGTCCTTCTCCTTCCCCACAGCCAAGAAGAAATAATTTGGATCCTACAGGACCCAAGCTTGTCTTGGGTAGGTGAATCTCCAAGAAAAGAGGAACAACAAAACAACAAAACCACCTCTAAAAAAACCCCACAAGTGTTGCCATTATAATAGTCACTGTAATTATAGTGTAACCACACTGCAATTGTTTTGGTTCGGGGGGCTTTTTTTTTTTTTAAAAAAAAAGAGATTTACTTTCCATAAAGCTCACTCTCGATCACCCCAGGAGGCAGGGGAGCCGCTTTTATGATTCACTCTTTGCAGATCCAGCAGGATTCAGAACAAAAAACCCCAGCCTGTTCATCTGAGCCCAGCCACTAAACCACAAACTCTCTGAAGAGCGCACAGGAGTCTGAAACCTGAGGCCAGGACAGTTTCCACATGAGGGAAGTGGAATGCACACGTGCATGTCATCACAAACCTAATTCTGAGCTTCTAAAGCGAGGGCCATGCAAAACAAGGGGCGAAGCGTGCAGAACTCACCGGGTTCCCATGTGGTAGGCTGTTCATGGTCCGGGTGAATCGGATCATGTGGCCATCCCCACGTCTGGCTGGCCAGGCTGGCATGGCATCGGGCAGCGAATTGGCATCTGGCCGCGGGGCTGGGTGGGTGGCGAGCACGTCAGCCTGCAGCTTCGGGCCGTCGTTACCGTACGAGTTGTGGCCCTGCGGCGCTGGGCCATCCGCCTGCTTCTGAACCCCAGAGACTTGCGATGCCGGCGGGTTCCCGACAGGGCGATTCTCCTGGTGGATGGGATAAGCCTGCGAGGAAGAGGAAGGTCAAGAGCAAACTCTAAAGAAACAAGCTCTGTTCCCTCCAGTTCGAAGCCCCACGCTGAAAACCCACAGAAGCCCTGCGGAGCTCTCCTCCCCGGGCTTTCCTGGGAATACCACACCTTCTGCCTCCCGAGCTGCAGCTGGCTGTTGGCTGGCACCACCGGCTGCTCCTTCAGCACCTGGAACTGCTGCTGCCCCTTCCCAGCTCCTCCTCCTTTGAAGCTTGGCATCTTCTGTAGAGCTTCCTTGAGCTGCCTGAACTCTTCCATCTGGGCCTGAGGGGATGAGAAGGGTACAGAGAAACCTCACCCAATAACGGTTAAACCACTCCTTGCTGAGGATAGTCACTTTTATGGGCAGTTGTTCAGCACAGATACGTTAAAGAAGATATATATAAAAATACATGAAAGGCTGGAGATAATCCACAACCATTAATAACAAGCCCAAGCTAGTCTTCAGCTTGCCCTCCAGATTTCATGGATATTCTGTAACCTCCCCTTTGCAAAGCGTTTTATCACATGCTTTTACCCTGGAAGTGCTGACCCATGACACCAGCTCTTTGCCCAATGCTATTTAGCGCATGAGCCATTGATGTAACTCCTGTCTTTGCATAAGAACTGTATCCTGGGTCTTGTTCTGTGTGGCTCCCGCTCCTCCTCTGCCTCACACATGCACCTTCAGGTCAGCTTTTTTTCTTCCCATGGAGGCATTTCTTCATGGATGTGCTCATCTCAGCAGGGCTGACAATAATTGGCATAATCCTACTTGACAATTTACTTTGCAAGCCAAATGAAAATTCTCCTGGACTGGTGAGCAAATGCAACACTTTACTGCAGCTTCTTTCTTCCGTCTCCAACTCTGAAAAGCAGGGCTTGAAGCAGCTACTCAGGAAGAGCTCCCCACTCCTACCCCAGTTATTTATAGGGAAGTGAGGCGGGGGTAGAAATTTTCATAGGCTTGCCAGGGTACCTGGAAACGGACCAAATTAGGGACTGGGCAGAGTAGGAAAGCTTCCAAGCAGCAAGGAAAGTTCAGC